AGGACCAAGGCAGAGACATCTCCAGCTCATCCCTTGTTTGGGCTTCAGCCAGCACATCAACCATTTAAATCAAGAAATAGTTTTCTATGATCGACAGAGACACTCGCTGGAACACCTCAGCAAGCGAGAGTCCAAAAGTGGCAGGCTCAAACCGAGAACCGCAACCAATGGCTGAGACCAAAGGAGAGACTCCCCCCTGGGCACACAGAAAACTGGGCGACTTGGAAGGCACTGAACAGACTGCGCTCTGGCACCACAAGATGCAGAGCCAACCTCAAGAAATGGGGCCACAAAGTGGAATCCATGACATGCGAGTGCGGAGAAGAGCAAACCACTGACCACCTGCTGCAATGCAACCTGAGCCCTGCCACATGATGCACAAGGGAGGACCTTCTTGTGGCAACACCAGAGGCACTCCAAGGGACCAGATACTGGTCAAAGGACATTTAACCAACTACCAAGCTTGCAAATTTTGTGTTTTGTCTGTTTGTTTGTTTTGTTCTGTTAGAAATGTAATACAATTGTCTGGTTGCCCCTGACATGATAAATAAAAAATAATAATCCACATTATCTTCTTTGAACTGGATTATATGAGTCCACTTGGACTGCAGACCATGTGATCAGATCTGGGGTTGTTCCAGACTCAGACTCCATTTCAGAAGTCAGTATTGTATAGCGTATTGTGTATAGTCAGAGCCCCTGGTGGCACAGTGGGTTAAAGCACTGAGCTGCTGAACTTGCTGACCGAAAGGTCACCAATTTGAATCCGGGGAGCAGGGTGAGCTCCCATTGTTAGCCCCAGCTTCTGTCAACCTAGCAGTTTGAAAACATGCAAATGTGAGTAGATCTATAGATCTGGCAGGAAGGTAACGGCGCGCCATGCAATCGGAGTCAATTGGAGATGCATTGGTCACATGACCTTGGAGGTGGCTATGAACAATGCCAGCTCTTTGGCTTAGAAATGGATATAAGCACCAACTCCAGAGTCAGACACGACTGGGCTTAATATCAGGGGTAAACCTTTACCTATTGTACATACTCAGTGTCAGTATGCATTGGACTGTGTGTAGTCAGTTTGCATTGGAAGGAGGTTCCACCTGAACCCTGGGAAGAAGAATTCTTGGCATGTGAGCTGTCCAACAGTGGAACTATCTGCCTGGAGTTTGGTGGAATCTCCCCCCTTGGAGGCTTTGCAACACATTATGTTGGAAATAACAACGATCTACAAGCCTCCCATACTAGTTATATGTTATGTATACAATTCAGATTGCTTACTGTATTGTATATGTGTATGTATTGGTATGCAGTTTTCTCTTCACTCTATGTTGTGGGAGGGACTGCAGACCGTGTGATCAGATCTGGGATTGTCCAGGGCTCAGACTCCATTTCAGAAGTCAGTATTGTATAGTGTATTGTGTATAGTTGGAGCCCCTGGTTTGTTATGAATATAATACAGATTGCTTACTATATTGTATATGTGTATGTATTAGTACGCAGTTTTCTTTTTACTCTAAGATGTGGGAGGGACTGCAGACCATGTGATCAGATCTGGGATTGTTCAGGGCTCAGACTCCATTTCAAAAGTCAGCATTATATAGCGTATTGCGTATAGTTGGAGCACCTGGATAGTTGTGAATATAATTCAGATTGCTTACTATATTGTATATGTGTATATATTGGTATGCAGGGACTGCAGACCGTGTGATCAGATCTGGGATTGTCCAGGACTCAGACTCCATTTCAGAAGTCAGCATTATATAGCGTATTGCGTATAGTTGGAGCACCTGGATAGTTGTGAATATAATTCAGATTGCTTACTATATTGTATATGTGTATATATTGGTATGCAGGGACTGCAGACCGTGTGATCAGATCTGGGATTGTCCAGGACTCAGACTCCATTTCAGAAGTCAGTATTGTATAGTGCACTGTGTATACTTGGAGCCCCTGGTTTGTTATGAATATACTTCAGATTGCTTACTGTATTGTGTTTGTGTATGTATTGGTATGAAGTCTTCTCTTCACTCTAAGTTGTGGGAGAGACTGCAGACCATGCGATCAGATCTGGGATTGTCCAGGACTCAGACTCCATTTCAGAAGTCAGTATTGTATAGTGTACTGTGTATAGTTGGAGCCCCCAGTGGCAGGTTTTTTGATATGCAGTTTTCTCTCCACTCTAAGTTGTGGGAGGGACTGCAGACCGTGTGATCAGATCTGGGATTGTCCAGGACTCAGACTCCATTTCAGAAGTCAGTATTGAATAGTGTACTGTGTATAGTTGGAGCCCCCAGTAGTGTGGTTTTTTGATATGCAGTTTTCTCTTCACTCTAAGTTGTGGGAGGGACTGTGGATCATGTGATCAGATCTGGGATTGTTCAGGATTCCATTTCAGAAGTCAGTATTATATAGTGTATTGTGTATAGTTAGAGTCCCTGGTTTGTTATGAATATAATTCAGATTGCTTACTGTATTGTATATGTGTATGTATTGGTATGCAGTTTTCTCTTCACTCTAAATTGTGGGAGGGACTGCAGACCGTGTGATCAGATCTGGGATTGTCCAGGACTCAGACTCCATTTCAGAAGTCAGTATTGTATAGTGTACTGTGTATAGTTGGAGCCCCCAGTGGCAGGTTTTTTGATATGCAGTTTTCTCTCCACTCTAAGTTGTGGGAGGGACTGCAGACCGTGTGATCAGATCTGGGATTGTCCAGGACTCAGACTCCATTTCAGAAGTCAGTATTGAATAGTGTACTGTGTATAGTTGGAGCCCCCAGTAGTGTGGTTTTTTGATATGCAGTTTTCTCTTCACTCTAAGTTGTGGGAGGGACTGTGGATCATGTGATCAGATCTGGGATTGTTCAGGATTCCATTTCAGAAGTCAGTATTGTATAGTGTATTGTGTATAGTTAGAGTCCCTGGTTTGTTATGAATATAATTCAGATTGCTTACTGTATTGTATATGTGTATGTATTGGTATGCAGTTTTCTCTTCACTCTAAATTGTGGGAGGGACTGCAGACCGTGTGATCAGATCTGGGATTGTTCAGGACTCAGACTCCATTTCAGAAGTCAGAAATTGTATACTGTATTGTGTATAGTTGGAGCCCCTGGTGGTGCTGTTTTTTGATATGTAGTTTTCTCTTCACTGTAAGTTGTGGGAAGGACTGTAGACCATGTGATCAGATCTGGGATTGTCCAGGGCTCAGACTCCATTTCAGAAGTCAGTATTGTATAGTGAACTGTGTATAGTTGGAGTCCCCAGTGGCACAGTTTTTTGATATGCAGTTTTCTCTTCACTCGAAGTTGTGGGAGGGACTGCAGACCGTGTGATCAGATCTGGGATTGTCCAGGACTCAGACTCCATTTCAGAAGTCAGTATTGTATAGTGCATTGTGTATAGTTGGAGCCCCTGGTTTGTTATGAATATAATTCAGATTGCTTACTGCAGTGGTTCTCAACCTGTGGGTCCCCAGGAGTTTTGGCCTACAACTCCCAGAAATCTCAGCCAGTTTATCAGCTGTTAGGATTTCCGGGAGTTGAAGGCCAAAACATCTGGGAACCCACAGGTTGAGAACCACTGGCTAAGTGTATTGTATATGTGTATGTATTGGTATGCAGTTTTCTCTTCAATCTAAGGTGTGGGAGAGGCTGTAGAACATGTGATCAGATTGGGGATTGTCCAGGACTCAGACTCCATTTCAGAAGTCAGTATTGTATAGTGTATTGTGTATAGTTAGAGCCCCTGGTTTGTTATGAATATAATTCAGATTGCTTACTGTATTGTATTTGTGTATGTATTGGTATGCAGTTTTCTCTTCAGTTTAAATTGTGGGAGGGGCTGCAGGCCGTGTGATCAGATCTGGGATTGTCCAGGACTCAGACTCCATTTCAAAAGTGAGTATTGAATAGTGAACTGAGTATAGTTGGAGCCCCCAATGGCGTGGGTTTTTTGATATGCAGTTTTCTCTTCACTCTAAGTTGTGGGAGTTACAGTAGACCAGGTGATCGGATCTGGGATTGTTCAGGACTCAGACTCCATTTCAGAAGTCAGTATTGTATAGTGTATTTTGTATAGTTGGAGCCTCTGGTTTGTTATGAATATAATTCAGATTGCTTACTGTAGTGGTTCTCAACCTGTGGGTCCCCAGGAGTTTTGGCCTACAACTCCCAGAAATCCCAGCCAGTTTACCAGCTGTTAGGATTTCTGGGAGTTGAAGGCCAAAACATCTGGGGACCCACAGGTTGAGAACCACTGGCTTAGTGTATTGTATACGTGTATGTATTGGTATGCAGTTTTCTCTTCATTCTAAGGTGTGGGAGAGACTGTAGACCATGTGATCAAACCTGGGATTGTCCAGGACTCAGACTCCATTTCAGAAGTCAGCATTGTATAGTGCATTGTGTATAGTTTGAGCCCCTGGTTTGTTATGAATATAATTCAGATTGCTTACTGTATTGTATTTGTGTATGCAGTTCTCTCTTTGCTCTAAGTTGTAGGAGGGACTGCACACCGTGTGATCAGATCTGGGATTGTCCAGGACTCAGACTCTATTTCAGAAGTCAGTATTGTATAGTGCATTGTGTATAGTTGGATCCCTCGGTGGCGCAGTGGGTTGACCTGCTGAGCTGCTGAACTTGCTGTGCTTCCTTGGAGGCTTGGAAATGGGGCTTGTCCCTGCCTGGTCGAAGCGGGTGGGTCTAGATGTCTCCTGGGGGTCCCTTCCACCGTAAGATCCGCCTGTGGAGCTCCAGATTGGGGCGAAAGGGGGCGTGTTGCCTGCAGGGCTTCCAGGGCCGGCAATCCAGTAAATCAATCCAAACCAAAGCAGCGAGTGTGCAGCAGAGGGAAGGAGGGAGGGGAGAAAAGCAGGAGGAGGAGGAGAAGAAGAAGGGACCTCCCTCCCTCCTTCCCTTCTTTCCCTCCCTCCCTCCCTCTTTGCAGACAGGTGAGGGGCGTTGCGAGGCCGAAGAGGAGGAGGAGGAGGAGGCTGTGGCGGCG